TGTGATGGGAAAGTCTGCTGTTAGGGACCTCTCCAAAGTACTGAAGAGCAATGGTGTTACTCTGGAGACTAAGATGCATCTGATACAGGCCATGGTCTTTGCAATCACTTGTTATGCATCAGAGTTGGACAATGAGTAGGGAGGATAGAGGGAGAATTGATGCCTTTGAGCTGTGGTGCTGGAGAAGAGTATTGGGTGTACCACGGACTGCCAAGAAAACAAACAGATTCATCCTAGAGAGGATTAAACCAAGCTTTTCCTTGGAGGCAAGGATTCTGGGGCTTCGTCTGACATACTTTGGACATGTTGTAAGGAGAGACCAGTCCTTGGAGAGGGACATCTTGCTTGGAAAGGTGGAGGGACAGCGCAGGAGGGGAAGACCCTCTATGAGGTGGGTTAATTCAGTGACTGGGGTAATCAGGATGGGTGTGTTAGAGACAGTGTGACTGACACAGGACAGAGCAGAGTTTAGGGCTGTTGTACATAGTGTCGCTATTAGTCACAAGTGACTTGACGGGACATAACAACAACAAATATTCACATAATGAAAACTCTTATTTTTGTTTTCCTTTAATTTTTTTTTCCTGCAAGAGGCATGTACTCTGGACATGTTATCAGTAGGGACCAGTCCATGAAGAAGGACATCATGCTTGGCATTAGTAAACAGGAGGAAGACCTTTAACAAAATTGATCGGCTGCAACAATGGGCTCAAACATTCAATGGCTGTGAGGATGGTTCAGGGTCGGCAGCGTTTCGATCTGTTGAACATATGATCCCTATTAGTTAAAATCAACTCAATGGCACAAAACAACAACACAAACACAAGTGGTATTGCTGGGCCATAGGATCAGTAGATGTTAAAGATTTCAATGCAAATCACTAAATTGCCCTCCAGAAAAGCCTTTTCAAACCTGAGCCACCGTAGGCTTTGACTCTCACCTTTAGGGATATAACCATCTTGGTTTTGGTGATGTATTTGCATATGGAAGTGATAGCCTTGTGTGAACCTGGCTGTTATTGATAGACTCACTTAAACCTTGGGAGCAAATTGCTTTAGTCTTTATGGCAAGCCTCTGTCAATTAACGGCTATCATCTATAAACAAATTTTAGATCAGTGTCCAATATACTCAGGACTATAACAGAATAAAAAAGCAAGGCAGAAAAGCAGAATTTTTAAATTTGTGTAACTTATCATTCAGAAAGCTTAGAAAGATTCATGGATAGATAGTGGTCTACTTAGAGGGGGGAAAGGTCCAGAAGACACAATACTGGATTTCTATCCTAGTCCTTTTACAACCATGAATATGATCTGTGCTTCTATGTTCTAAATGAGCATTCTTAAATTTGAAATGGGTTGTTGAGGGAGATTAAACTCAATTCAATATTTGCTTTCAAAGGGCCTATCTGTATTTAACATTTTTTAAGTCATGGTACAAACCAACATTGGTTTTGAGGTCATGAACACTCAAGATTGAAATTCCAATCCTGTCCTTTCCTATACTCACCACAAATTTCCTTCACCTATCTGAACTTCAGTTTCTTCATCTGTACTTATTCAAATCTCATAGGGATACAGTAAATAGAAATGAAATGTTTAAAGCAGCTAAGGACAATAAGAGGGTGAAACCAAGTTCCTCCTTGGAGGCTGGATTTCAGAAGCTCCTTCTCACATACTTTGGGCACGTGGCCAGGAGGGACCAGTCCTGGAAGAAGGATATCATGCTCAGAAGGATTGAGGGACAGCGTAGGAGAAGATGACCCCGGATGAGATGAATTGATACAGTAACTGGGGCAATGGGGTACCTGGGTCGGAGTCAGAGAGACTTCTCAGGACAGGGCAGGCTTCAGAGCTGGTGTACTTAGGGCTGCCATAAGTCACAGATGACTCGACAGCACATAACAACAGGGACATCAGCTACAGTCTTCTGGTGTCTTGGTGGTAAGGAGTTGTGCTGTCAACCCAAAGGCATGTGGGTAGAATCCATTAGCCGCTCAGCAGGAGAAAGATGGGAAATCTCCTCCTGTATCATTTACAGCCTCTGAAAACCCAGTGGAGGGTCAGATATGAGTCAGTTCTCTCTTGACAACAACAAAGACAACAACTAGCCCCTTGGTGGTATTCAGTAAATGCTTAATGAATTGATAAATTGAAGTTCTCAGTAGCTTCTTCTTTGCTTAGATTTTAGTTTCTTTCTGAGGAGGTTCTGCTTACTCATTGAACTTAGTGCTATCGGGAATTGTGCTATTTAGTTTGTTGTTTATTGTCTGTCTCTCCATCAGTGTAAACATTGTCAGGGTAGAGAAAGGGTCTGGTTTACCAGCTGCCTCACCAGGCTCTAGAACTGTGCCTGGCTTGCAGATCATGTTGCCACATCCATTTTTGTGGTAATGAATTGCTCATATTCTTCCCAGTGAACCAGCTTTCTGACCTGGAAACCTTATGAGACTGGAAGAACTATGAAAGAGGGAACAGGTTCAGGACACTCCTCACCCTCTTGCCCTTCCACACTGTCACTGGTCTGTGCTTGGTTCCAGCCATCCTCCGTTACCTGAAGATGGACGGGAAGATTCATTTGGTGGTTTTCAACAACCTGCAGCTGGCTGATGGGAAGCGGCACAGGGTCCTGCTGAGACTGACCAATCTGCAGCGAGGAGCTGGCTCCGTCGAGCTCTACCTCGACTGCACCCAAGTGGATTCCATTCATAATCTCCCCAGAGCCTTCTCCAGCTTCTCCCAGAGCCCCGAGTCCATGGAATTGAGGACTTTCCAGAGGAGGGCACAGGTAGGAACCAGTAAGATCGTTTTGTAAAGTAGAAAGATGGGATGTCAGGGAACAGAATATGTTACTGAAAATATTCCACTCTGTCGTCAGCGGTCTAAGCTCTGGTTGCATGTTACAACTTGTTGTTTGTTGTTGTTGTTATGTGCCATCGAGTCGTTTCCGACTCATAGCGACCCTATGCACAACAGCTCTAAACCCTGCTCTATCCTGCGCCAACCGCACCGCCTCTGACACACCCATCCCGATTACCCCAGTCACCGAATCAATCCATCTCATAGAGGGTCTTCCCCTCCTGCGCTGTCCCTCCACCCTCCCAAGCATGATGTCCCTCTCCAAGGACCTGTCACTCCTGGCAACATGTCCAAAGTATGTCAGACAAAGCCCCAGAATCCTAAAGGAACTTAAAAAAAAATGGCTACAGGGTTTATTCCCAAAACCAATTGGATTAGAATGGGTTGGCGTAAAGCATCAGGATTTTCTTAGTACTGATTCTAATGTGAAGTGAAAACTGAATTTTTGCTTTAAATGACAGTTGTTTGGTTACAGTTGTAACTCTAGAAATGAAATTGCAAAAGTAAAAATATCTTCCACAGGTGATAGCACTCACTTTTTTTATATTGTTCCAATATTTCTACTATGTGTCAGGCAAGAAGACCCAGTCTCTCAATGATTAAGTGCTTGGCTGCAAACTAAAAAGTTGCCTGTTCAGACCTACCAGCTGCTCCAGAGAGGAGCAATGAGGCAATGCTTCCATAAAGGTTTACTGTCTTGAAAAACCTATGAAGATTTTCTATAGAGTCACTGAGTTAAGAGTCAACAGACCGTGGTTTTTTTGGTTATGTGTCAGGCCCAAACCAAAACCCAAATTTCCTGCCATCTAATGGAGTCCACCTTGGAGTGAGCCTCTACCGCATTCCCAAGGCTACAAATCTTTATGGGACCTCAGGAGGACTGGTAGATTTAAACTGATGGTTTTAGGGTTGACAGTGTCACTCGTAATGCACTACACCACCAGAGTTCCTTACTAAGGAGACAGCAGAGGGCAAGCCAGTCACAGCCCTTCCTCCCTGGCGCTTGCTGTCTGCTGGCCAATGTAGTTCTTACAAGAGCACATGTTGTGTATATCTTAGTTAAACTGAAAAGTACAATTCTCCTGAAAATGCTTAGCATGCTCATTTTTAAAACAGTAATGATGACTTTTGTTGACAGTGTTGGGGGTTTTTTCAGTTCTGTATACCCGTAATAAAGAAAAGTAAGTTACAAACCAAAGGAGTGAGAAAATTGATTTGGGGGCTAGTAATGAATGATTAATACCAACCAACAGTGTACACATACCACCTACCTAATAATGATAAAGTATACTGTTTATTAGTTCTTATATCCCAGGAAAAGTCAGAAGTTTTCTAAGACTTGGAGCCAAATATTCTAATACAAAAACTACTCAAAGTTGGGATCAATATTTTCTTTATTACAGTTTTGAACCCCATAAACAAATTCCAGGTAATTTATAAGAGGCTCTTGCCATGAAACAACTCGCTTACTTTGAAGAAAAACAGCCCCCCCCCCTTTTTTTTTTCATTTTGATGAACTCTAGGCCAAGGTGAATGCCAGCTTTCTCCTATTTCCATTTCCCTATTTGTTTCTGTCAAAAGGCCTGGTAGACATTAGGAAAAATGTGAGCTCACAAAATTATGTAAGACAGCAGATTCCAAGTATATGAAAAGGGTATGCAAAATATGCAAGTGTGTTTGCTTTTAAAGTGATGCCAGCAGTGTGTGGTAAGAATCTGATTTCTCCAGGATTCTTTGGAGGAGCTGAAGCTGGTGGTGAGAGGCTCACTGATCCAGGTGGCCAGCCTGCAGGACTGCTTCCTACAGCAGAGTGAGCCGCTGCCCACCACAAGCACAGGTATGGACTGAGGGCCATTGGGCCACTTTTCACAGTACAAACTCAAAGCCTCCAATGAGTTAGTTCTTATTACCAAAAGGCTGTCAGCAGAACAGCCTGACAGAATGTATTTAGAAAAAAAAAGAAAGAAAGAAAGAAATCAGGCTCTTACAGTAGGTATATTGGGTGTGCTCATTA